CCATCAGCTGTGCTTCGCCTATAGATCTGCTTTAAGTCACAGCGCGGGGTATAACATCGTATCTATAAGAAGTGTGCATTTTTTGTTTAACAAAAAACTCATGCATGAATGGAGGTGTCACTAGGACAAAAGATAAGAGGAAACAAATATATATTTGTCTTCAAAATATTGTATAATTTAAGTTCTTCCCCAAACGCCATTACATGTGAACGCATAACAATGATAAAGGTTTAATTTACCATCCCGCAATTTTCACTGAACAGAGCCTAAACACATCGTAGAATCAGAATCAGACTCCAAAATTGACACGTTTTTTCTCTGTTCTCCTTAGTTTCTTTCACAAACCCCAAAATATATATATATATAAGAATATGAACCAAAGGACGAGACATACAAGTAAAAAACTGATGTAGGTATAAACTTTTAACAAATATACAAAATAATATAAAAAATGTGTGTGTGGCTGCTTTTCTGAACCCCGGGGCAAGCCATATGCTGACATAACAAGTTGTCAGAAGATAAGAGCCCAGAGACGGATCAAAGTATGGTTCACATGATACAGTCGTAACCCAGAGGCACTTGAAGAGGTCATGAGAACACAGGAGATAACGAGGGTCCCTCTGCATTATGACACAGTTGTCATATTCATCACACTAGTCTGTAAAAGCAAGGTATTACCTCTCAGTTTAAATGCATTGGGGTTGTGTGTGTGTGTGTGTGTGTCTGTGTGTGTGTGTGTGTGTGTGTGTGTGTGTGTGTGTGTGTGTTTGTGAGTTTTTGTAAAGTAGAATTGGGATTCTGTAAAACAGCACCTATTCCTGACTGATCCAGGGCCCATGTGCTATAGTATATCTGAATATGTGCAACTGGAAATAGTGTTTTTAATAACTTTTGATCTCAGAGACAGTTTGCAGTTGCACATGTTCAATCAGAAGTTATTTTCTTAAAAGCGAGATGCTGTATGCAACAGGCTGTTGCCAGATTCCCAAGTAGTTTCCAACCTTTGAGAAAAAACTGAAATGTGGTTTAAATAAAAACTCTGAAGAGGGGTAAAACATCCCTCTTAACTCCCAAAAGTGTCAGTTTGAGGTCCATACTTCCTCCTTTTCCGCTTGCTTTGTGGATTATGACAGCGATGCATCTTGAAGCCCTAATCCCCTCGCCGCTGTCGTCTCGCCTCCCTTTATGTTAAGCCCCTTGACTTGTGCTTGTGTGTGTGTGTGTGCGTGTGTAATTGTGTCACGTGTCAACCGATGCTAGGACCCAAACTTTGCCCTTGGATGACATACAAACAAACCAAAGGGGGCTGAGGCCTCCAGTGCTGACGGCGAACTGCACCCTGCAGGTGCCCTGCTGGCCCATGACCAGAAAAACAGACATCAATTCAATAACCAAGAACACCAATGGAAACAAGAACACACCAAGACACAGAAAGCTCCTCGCTCCTTTCACAGCATGTAGTCGGTTAATAAACCACAGATGTCAATAGCACTTAGCAGGACTTGTTACTAAAGGCCCTAGTTTTCAAGCCAGAGTTTGCTTCAAGCAATCCCACAACGCAAGAGAGGCAACAACCTGTAGTGGCTAAACAGTTATCGGCACGTACACACAGTAATAGAAGTAGTAGTTTACAGCTTAGTTACATGTGAAGAGGTGGAGAGAGTGCTGGAGCGGAATCAGCTGTGCACGTAGCTCAGGCCGGCTAATATACAGAGCTAATAAAGAGACAACCTCTGAGATCAAAGATTTATTTAAGGAGGAAAAGTTGCACTGAGAAAGTTGGCACGAATGCTGAGCATCAATGACGTCACCAATCAAATTCCAGCATAGCAAATAGAGGCACCTGTCGAAAGAGACGACAGCTGGGAGATGATTTCTCTCTCTTGTCCTACAAACCCGCTCTTCTCTGCCCTCCATGGAAGCCGAGTGTAATGTCAACCACCAAACATCCCAATTGTGGAAATTCCTTTCAAAAGGTGGAAGGAATTTGGATAAATCCATGTTAAGAAACAGACAAAACCCATATGCGGTGTATGAAATACTAAACCTAGAATGTCAAACTACCTAAAGATGGAACTTGTAAAATGTAAAACCTAGTCTAGATAAACTCGCTAAATATCGCTAAATATGAAAGAATTTGTTTGTTTTAGTCAGCATCAGTCATAATCCCTAAAACTAATCCAACTGGTATGAACATGATAATAGACCTCAATTAAAAAACTTAAACTGTGCCAAAAGTGCATCTGACTGCAAGAGAAAATCAACAAAAGCCTCAAAGCAAAATGACCCTTGACAGCAATTATTCTGCATATTCATCCTGGATGAAAGACATGTACAACTTTCAAGCAGAAAACGGTGAATAAATGCTGTTTTTCTTTTAAACATTGATATTGAATAGAGCTGGTGTTAACAGCAGGGTCCATCAGAGGCGAGGCAAGACTCGTTCGAAGCATCGGAGGGAACGCATTGTTCCCTCAAAGCTCTCAAAGTGCTTTTACCCCCACCTGATTGTAAAACACAACTTAATTCACACTGAACAGACACCAAGTAAGAGTCTTTGTTAGCCGAGTCTCGTGTTCGGAGTGAAGTGTGAATGAGCGACCTCAAACCTCAAACCACTCTACTCTTGCTGCCCGTAGTTCGATTAATAGCTCACTTAGAGGTCCGGCCTTGTAGATCCAATCTGAGTAAAGATTAAGCAACACGACTAGCAATTTGTGGCCTCAGATTCTTTATAATTTTGGCTAAGTGAAAAAAACCTAAATATAAAGAATGTTCTGCTACATAAGTATGTATTCATTCATGAATGCATCTTTGTTCTTCTTCAAAATAATATTACATATTTGTACCTCCTCAGGGTTGAATGGAGAGTGGGAATCTAACAATTTAATGTTTCATCTGTATTAGGCCTCTTCATATGGGCATTATTTGTAATAAAGTCATATTTTTCTGGAATTTGAGTATTAATTTAAAAGAAAATGTGTCAATTGCTGTAGCGTATTAATTAAAAGCAGCGGTTGTTTTTTGGTAACTAACATGTTGGACGGAAACAAGCCTCCTGTAAAGTGGTAAAGTAGTCACAAGTGAAAACCACACAAAGAAAACATTTTGGGGTTTCTTGCCCCAAAATCATGTAATAAATACATTTATTATTAGCCAAACCTTTATATTACTTTTAACTGCCAAGACAGAAATTTATCTGTCAGAAATACTGGAGCAAAGAATCATGGAAGAGATCTTCCTTTTGTTTTTTAATCGGGTTATATTAAAAGTTTAATATCAATTTTCAAATATGTACTTTTTTGTAGGTTTTTCCATTTAATGGCTGTAGGTGAAGCTCCAGGTTCTGTTATCATCTTCTCGGTTTTATCAAGGTTCCACTTTTTTACTTTACAACGTTGGCCAACTAGTTTCATCGTCGCCACATTTCCATATTGACATGAATAAAGTCCAGACTGGCATGAATAAAAATAGACAAGCCTCGGAAGGCTTCCTCCCTCTTATTCTTTCAAAGAAGATACACCGCTTGCCATTTCAAAATGTTTGCCGTTTGGGAAGTATACCGCCTTCACATGCAGTGATAGAATACCGCCTTCAGTGCTGGAAGCTATGGACTCGCCCATGACTCCAGCAGGACGCCAGTCGTGATAAATGAGCCCTCTGTCTCAGGCAATGTGAGCTCCTGCAAGGCAAACTTCCATTCCATCCAGAAACACTCAATCATTTCTAAACTGACAGGAAAAACAATCACTTCATATCCGTAAAATGCTTTACGCCTCCTGTGCAAAAAAAATAATAGCAAAATAGATTTAAATTGGGATGAATTAAGACCTAAAAGTGAATACAAACTATATTGAAATTTTAAAAAAATTGGTTGTCAGACACATCATTTGTCGTGTGTCATGAGAGAGAAGCTTTTTCAAGTATTTGAAGGCCTCTCATGAGAACAAATGGTGGCCGTGGATGACAGACTTTTCACGAGAGTTTATTCAGGTATTCGATGCCAGTGCGATTCAAAGTAGGGTGATGGTGCCATTTGAAAAAAAGCATGTTTGGGTTTTCTTATCAAGCACACAGTGCTGGTGGTTCATTGAATTTAATCCAATTGCAGCAAATAAACCCAAAACTCAAAGTTATACAGGAGGGGATGAGATGCCAACGGGCCAGGAATAAGCCAAGATAAGAAATATATAATTATGAATATTGCAAATGACAAATGAAACCCCTCCTTAGCTTTTGCTCTCATCATCAGAACATCATTGTGAATTTGACTTGAAAGGTGTACAGATTGCTGCAGATCATGAAAGTGAAGTGAAAAGTACAATAATTATTAACAAGAGGTAAAGACTCACTCAAAGTGTATAGCATTAATGAGTTCCTTTCCTCATATAGAAGAATGTTCATTGAGAAGAGGAGAGGTGTCATTTCTGTGAATTAAGAATTAAGATTTTAAGTATATTTTGTTTATTTGGGTTTTAAATCCCAATTATTTTGGCCGGGAGAATTCTGATATTAATATTTTATTTCAATATTTCCTTTTGACAATAATTCGGTCGATTGTATTTTTAGGTGCTCATGACAATATTAATCTACAACAGGAATAATGCTTTGATTCAAATTTTTGGATTCTTCTTTTAATTCACTTAATCATAACAACCGTTTCTTTTCTTTTTTTTTGCCCGGTAATATGTCTGTTATCTTTTATGAATAAACTCATCCTGAAAGAATAAACAACATCCAACCCTGTGATCCATCAGAGTAAAACATTTACTCTCATACTGAGCAACGAGTAGTGTCAAAACCTCCGGCTCCATTCTTTTAAACACACTGATTGGCAACAAACCTTTGAGAATGTCAGAAACTGTGAATATGGACGCAGCTCTGTTGATACATTATTATTATTATTTAGGCCTCAACCACTTTGAGTTCAGAGCGCGTCAACTTCAATGCCTTCGGCTGCTATCCTTCGTCACACCTGCCTCGTGTGTTAAGTGAGCTACCTGTGTGACGAGGGGCTCCAGAAGCCGCTCCACGGTCAGCGTGCGGATTTCAAGGCTCTTCGGGTCCCATTTCAACAGGATGGGGGAGGTGGCGGTCGTCATGGTCTCTGTTGAGAGCAAAAGCGGATCAACGGTTAGAGCTGTTGACTCGTTGATAAAAGAAATTATTGGGTAGATTAGATTTGCTCATGAGGTGTAGCGGCGCTCACACAATATGCAGTCTAGCTGTGCCAATGGTTTAAATAATGGGATCACAATTGGGAAGATGATGGACTGAAGTATTGGAATGTGAAATGCATGCTCCACCCACTATCAGAATCAAGCTTTTCCTGAATTAGCCTGCAGCCAAGGGGCAATCAAAATGTTTTGGCTCTACTCGTGAGGGGCTGTCAACCACCAGGCAGCCTGTGAAAAACCGTCTTCAATGTTGCTGCAGCTCTCACAGCGTATGAGTAATATTATACATTTTACTCTGTTGAGAGCGCAAACGGACCAGTATTTTTATTTTGCTTACTGGTCTTAGACATGGGTCTAAGATTGTAAACCCATGTTTAGTGGTAGTCTATTGATTGTACAGTAAATCAAGGAAGGAATGTATTACTCATCAGTTGAAAAGCTAAATTACATTCATTGGAGTTTTACTTAAATCATTGAAGAACAAGCATTGCACTATGAGGCCTGGCATAAAAAAACACCCTAAGAAAAGCAGGCAAAAGTAAAGAAAACCCAGAGAAAAGTTGGAAAAAATTAGCAAAGGCTGAAGTGAGTGGCATGTGTGAAAAGCTGCACTCCTGAGATGGTGCTGAGCTCTGCAATATGAGTCTCAATCGTTTAACTCTTTATACAATCCGGTCCTTAAATTGCAAACTGTTTCCATTATAGTTTCTAAAACCCTGAAGCTCTGTGGGGGTCACATTAGGTGAATATGAGGGCTGAACAGCTGGCATGGGAGTAGCAGTCTCTTTGACCGTGGGGATGTTGTTTCTGCAGTAAGCAATTTCCAAATGGGCCAGCTGGGACTGGCTCAGTCTACTGTCGATGTCAATGAGGCAGAAGGGAATAAAGGATGTTGAAGAGAACGACAGATCTGGGCCGGAGGCCACTAGTGCTACATTGCAGTGGGTTAAAGATGGACAAAGCAATATGGAAACCTAGAAATGTTGATGAAACCACAACCAAGTCATTATAGTTCTTTTTCGAAAGATCATGGACCTTTAGCTCTAAAATAATTCGCTGGTGTGCTTGTGACATTCCAGGAACGAATCAGGCTCTGTGCTTCTGTCAGCTAATCAATCCGTCATGAATAGTGGCTTGACATTACACAAAGTGTTGAACATAGCGTTACAGTCTCAGTTTACTTGTGGCTAAACCCTAAAACCTTTTGCAATGGAGACATTTTTTCACACATTGCAAATTCTAAATGCTTTTTTCCCCAAACATTTAGGATGTACATTGTTGCTTGTTAGAAATACCAACTAAGTAGAAACTCTTTCTCTATGCCAACAGTCTTGAACTTGAAGTGATGCCTGTGACGGTCTCCCGTTTTTCTCTCGTTCTGCAGCTTTCTCTCATGACATTAAAGGTTTCCCGAGAGCGCGTTGTGCATTCGGTGAAAATGAGTGATGCAAATGCAGTGATGCATGCCCCTGACGGGAAAACAGCTGCACTGTGAACCCCCCAGGCTGCCATTGTAATGCAATAAACTGTTGACAGTGAAACTTTTCGAAGACGGGATTGGAACTGGTCCTGTCACATTGTGTTACCAAAGCAATTATAGAGAGTGGTTTGTCGGGATTTTGGTTATGCGTGATGCGTCACAGTGATTGTGTCAGCTAATGCTTACCTGAAAATGTTTTGAAATTTAAACAAAATGATTTAGCGCCCTGCACTAAATTCACAGTTCACTTTGGTTGGAAATCACAGAAGAGAGACGCAATTACATTGTTATACGAATCATGCTCATCGAAGTGCACTGAGCGCAACGCATGCGAAACGCAGCGGTCAACAGCATTCCACATTTTCCGTGCCGCATGTTTTTGTTGGTGGAGAGCTTTGTAAATGTTGTGAGGCTGTCAATGAATGCTACGTATCTGAGTCTATATATTGAAATTGTAAAAAATGACATTTTTTCACTGCATGTGTCCATGGTCATGTACAGCGCATCGTGTTATGCAACCACATTATGGACAGATAAAATTATTTCAAGCCTTTAAAAACAACGCTTCTTATGAAGCAGAATATTAGCATGAAAGCAAAGTGAAACTGACACAGTTATGTTTCAACATGACCGAGTCTCCCATGAAGATTGAAGGAAACAGCTGACGGACTGTCATCTAACAGACTGTCGACTAATAATGCCGTAATTGAGCACGTTCAGCAGCAACAACATTTGATGATGTAGAGTGACATTTTGGTTTACACGTACAGTATATAATGATATATATATTTATATATATGCACACACATATCAACGTGTAAAAAGCATGCTCTTCTCATAGAAAGCTTTGCTGCATATCAAATCAAGCTCTTCGCAATCGCATTGTGTGAAAAACTTTCTTGAATGTTGCTTCAGCAACAGAGAAGAAGAATAAATATCACACATGGTCCTCTGTTGTATAACAGATAGCATACAAACCAATATCTCTCCCAATAAATAACAAAACTCTGCGTTATCAGTGTTTCCGGAGCATTCAATAAAACCACAGTGTGTGTGGTGTGGTTTTATTCAATTGTCTGGTTTCATTCAATCATATTCTCTCAAATGAAACTTGCCTTCTGTCGCACAGTTTTGAAGACTCGGTCTTGGTTTCTAAGAAGCCGGCACGCTAAAGAATGCATCCATGGAACAGGAAATATGGTTGAGCAAGCAATGCGGGAAGTTTTACAAGTTCTGTTGTGCTTTCCCACAGAGACGGAATATCTCAAACGCAATCTTTGTGCTGTGCGAGCTTGACAATATCCCCCCCCTCCCCCCTCCAGATCTGTTTTTTACGCCAAACATGTTTTGGTGGAGAGCCAGACTCTTGTTGTAATCTGTGAGATAGCCCACCATCTGCTGTGTGTGTGTGTGTGTGTGTGTGTGTGTGTGTGTGTGTGTGCTAGCATTACAATGGAAATTGGTCAGAGCAAAGCAAGACAGATAAGAATAGAAAGTGATTGGACAAAGTGATGTGTGCATGTGCTGTCACTTTGTGTTCACCCCTTGCATGCACCGTCATATGTATGTAAAATGAATCAGATGTGATTCAACAGCACAGCTACCAAAAGTAACCCTGGAGTGTGCGTCTGTGTGTGTGTGTGTGTGTGTGTGTGTCTGTGTGTGTATAGGTGGTCAAACTGTAGCTTTGTGTTCATGAGGTTTCTTCCTTTGCTTAGTGGTGTGAATAATACAATTTTACCATTCATTAATTACGTCAGCCTAGTCACACTGGGAATGGATAATAAAAAACATGCCATTTGAAACATGAAAAAGTCACAAAATGGAAGGCTCATTGTGTAGGATGACGAACCATCAATCATATCACCGCCTCAGTTCCACGGTACTTGCGAGAACTTTTCAGTAATGCACTGTAATTGACTTAATCACTTCATCAAGGACGGGACTGAAAAGAAACTGTAGAACGATGCAGCACTCATGCGCCCAAAACAAGCCCACAAGCAAAATGTGAAATGTCTCCATATCTCCCTTATTTGAGTGAGCCATCCTCCCCAGTCTGAAACCATATAGCGTGGCTGATGCAAGAGGGACACTCTTAATCGGCTGTGTTAGTAGTTGTGAATATGTGTCCATGTTAGAAGCAAACTATAGTTCCGATTGTGAACCTTCAATATACAGAATAAAACACACAAAACACATGCAGCGTTGCTGCTAATGGCAGTTCAAATTAAAAGTATTAATATTTTATATTATCAAGTAAATCATTAAGAACTCAATTAGTAATCATGGCATATGGGACATCACTTGAGATTAAATATATACATATATAAACTTTTAACTGTATTTGGAATTTAGTGTCATTGAGAAGGCATTTAACATCCTGTCCCTGTAGGTTGAATTAAATGTTTCATCATCGATGTCGGTAGGAGAGCTAACAGCAGCCTCCGTCGCTAGTTCCCCGCACGTTGCCATTCCTTGTAAGTCAGCTCATTTGTCACCTAATGTCGGGTCCTCTTGATACTGTTTGTTTTTTATTGCCCATTAAACAATATTATTGCCGTAGGTTCTTCTTGTGTCAGCTCCTCTCTGGAAAAATGCTGATGACATGGCGGCGAGGAAACCTGTGAGGGGATGTTAAGTAATTACCTCAGTCAGCCAGGTGTTAAATGAGCTGCCCATTATTTGGGGCCGCGGCAAAAAAAAAGGAATTTGAGGTGAAATTTAAACAATTCATGAAGGATTTCTTTCTTATTCTATCTGAGATATTGTAATTAGAAATGATAGCTAACAAGAAAGAGGAGTTACAAACAATAAAACAAAAAACTTGAGTTTCTCTTAACATTACAGCGAAGCTCAGTTTAGCTCTTGAATATAACAATACTCTGTATATATGATATACTCAAACTTGATATTTCTGGTTTTGGTCTATGAACAGAGGCTACACCCAGTCTGACATCATTGGTACACCAGTTAATATCCACCATAAACATCTAGTCCCACGAAGAAGCAATTAAATGTCTACGTTCAAATTTAATTGCCAGGTTGTGCGAGTGTGCAGTTGTATAATAAAAAGTGTTCCAGATTAAATCATTGCACAAAATGATTTTACACTGCCCACCCTTAAAACAACAATCATTGGGGGATTCTTTTCTACTGAAAACAATGTATTGATTGTCAAAAGTAATCGATCGACTAATTGTTGCAGCTCTACATGAATAATGACCTTGTTGGGCCCTATTCACCTACAACTACTGAAAACTCAACATTCAATATGAACGCATGACGAACACATAAAGCTGATGAAACTGATGATCTCATTTAGAAAGCGACGCGATCTAATTCAACCGCAAAAAGAACAAGTGCGACAAGGAGATGGAGGGAGCTCTCTGACAGCTCGTTAAGATTTCTGTCCAGACTACGGTGAACACCAGCCACCTTTGAGCAGCTCGT